TGGTGCAAGCAGCAGTCCAGGCTCCTTGCCCAGACATTGCTCCTCAACCACAGACTCAGCCAGGTTGATTCAAACTTGTTTTATTTGCTGGAGGCATCTACATGCCTTGTAGCTTGGTGCTGTGTTAGTCATTCACCTGTACAGCAGGGCTGGAGTTGCTCTCAGTTCCTTCTCACTGCTGCACTGATACTTAATCTGATTATTGGGGTTTCAGTGTAAAAGATGTGGTTTGGTTTCTGCCTTCTATAGTAACTTATCAGTAGGGGTGCAAAGGTAAATGTTTGTCTTGTGAAGAGAATTCAGGTCTTATTAAGCTGATTATAAAGAAGATTGTTCCTCGGCTCTAGGTGGAAATAGAAAACTGAACAGGCTTTCCAGAGCTATAGGTTGAAATCTGAGGGACAGTGCTGACCACAGCTGAGCTGAACTGGAAGATGAATCGATCGTGGGACTGTGTGGAAGGAAGAGCTGGTGAAAAAAAGTCAGTGTTGCTTTGGAGAGCTGTGCTGTGTCACTGCCTCTGCTGGAAGGTTCCTTGGTGAAGTCAGTCTGGTGGTGTGAAGCTAAATTCCCTTGGATGTGTCTGCCCATGAGGTGTTCCTCATCTTGGGGGTGTTCAACATGAAACTTGGGGCAGAGACTAATGAAGTGCTTATTGTGGTGCATGCCCCAAGCTGCCTCTTGTGGTTCTCTCAGCCTTCTGACCTTCTGCAGGGGTGATTTTGCTGGTTGTGTAGCAAATGCTGAATCACAGCAGTTCAGTGTATTTCAAAAATATATTTAAGTTGCAGTGGTTCCTAAATAGAAAAGCCCACGTAAGAGGAAACAGATGAACAAGTTTTACCCATGGGTGTTGTGGGATGGACAGCACTTCAGCATGTACTTGCAGTATCTCACACAAAGTCCGCAGCTGGAGAGCTGGATATGCTTTTAAAATTAATTCCTTAATAGTTTTATGCTAACTCAGGGTATCTGTTACAATGGTACAGAGGGATAATATTTCTAGTGATAATTTATATGCAGTTTACAGCCAAGCTTAATATGCAGTTTGGGTGGTACATCCCTTTGGTCATCTGCAGATCTAAGAACCAAAATCAAGAAACCACCAAGATCTGTATTTTAAAGAGATGCAGAGACATGGACGAAGATGATGAATTGAAGATGACGCCTGGCTGATAGTTTGTGAGTAAGAAGCTGAAAGCTGCTAATGAAGTTCAGTGGACAGCCCTGTATTTTTAATAGCTTGATTATTCCCAGTAAAAAGCCATGCCCTCATAGCTTACAGCTGTGATCATGTTCTCCAGAAGTTGGCAGGCAGGAGAGCTTGTGGTGTATCTGTGAACTGGGCTTTCTTTGTATGTGAAACAAACCCTCTAAGGAGGGAGTGTGTGATATAGCCAGCAGTACTGGGATGAAATTCCTTTCATTGCAGTGCTGAAACGGCTGGAAGCTTGCTAGGTTTATGAATTTATGAATTACCTTCAAAGATGAGATTTCCTCTTTGCTTTCTTTTAAGACATCTGGCTGTGGAACCGGAGCTTGAACCCGTAGGTGCTAGTTCAGCATGTGATGACCACAGGCAGTCGTGTGATGGTCTGTATTTGTCTGGGTTTGTGATACCTGGATGCACGCTGGGTCCTGAGGGTCGTGCCAAGCAGGTTGTACCCCGTGGTACTACGTGAACTGTGAGCTGCAGAGTGCAGGCTGGAGCTTCAGCATGAAGGGTGTGTAGAGGGAGACAGGAGGCATCCCAAAGCCTCCTGAGTTTGGCATTGGGGTTAAGAGAGATCAACGATGTTCTGTGATCCTGAACTACAAGTCAAAAGTCGGTAGCCCTCACTGTGCCGTGGATTTTGTGCTGTGTTCAGGAGAGTAATTCTGACTGTCAGTGTTGTATTTTTTTTTTTCTAGATGTTGATTTCCTGTGCAAATGAAGACTACTAAGAAAAAAAAACCAAACCAATAAACCAAAACCCAAACATAGACTGGTTCCAGTTCTGCTCTACATTCATCTGTGGTGTCAGGAGGGCTTTGGCTGATCGATCTCACTGCAGGACGGGGGTCTCAGTGCAGCACTGCACAGTGGAGCATTGCTCTGAGCAATGCCAGGAGTTAGTGATACCCAAATATGCATATTCTGCATTGCTTAGGGTGTTCCTTTGCTGTTTATCCTGCATTTGGATTCCATGTGGTTTCTGTAGTGAGGAATTTGTTGTACATGTGTTCATCTTACTGAAGTGCTTTTTGATTTTAAATACCTGTATCCTGATTTTCCACTACAGGGTTGACCTCTCTAGGCTCTTATAGCAATAAATATTTAACCTGTGGATCGTGAAATAATAATTTCATTTGAAAGAGTAGTATAGCTTACAAGGAGAAAAAATACAGAAAAATGCTTCTGCTAGGTTTTCTGTTCCATGTTTAACACTCTACGTTTAATTTAAGTGTGTGTCATATGCAACACTCAACTACTGTGCTAAGGAAAATGCATTTTTCAAGGAAATGCTTCCCCTGCATAATATGTGGCCTTTTGTGGGGAAACAACAGATGCATGCAGTCAGATCACTTCACCCTCTTTCTGCAAAACCATTTAAAAAAGGTGGAGTGCAAGGGAAAGGTCACTGTGGAGGTGGGGAGACAATCTAAGTTGTTGGAAGAGCATTTAGATTTGGGGGATAGTGCTTGGGTCAGGAGGAACATTGCCTGACAGCCTGGGTTACAGGAACATGGCATTATATAGGCCAAAACTCAAGTATAATGTGAAAACCCAGGATAAAATAATTGAGAACAATGAGGAAACAGCTGTAAAGATGCTGCCAGGGAGGTAGTGATGTTCCTAACTCTTGCAGTTTGTTTTGACTGTTAATTCCTTTATGAATTAAAACTTTATAAGTGAAAACTTTTAGCTCAAACTAAGTCAACAAGAGACTCCAGGATGAGCTGATAATAAAATTGATGCTCATAAGAGAGAGAGAAAAGGTATGAGCTTTTATTTGCATGGTTAGAGCTGACTGTAGGATGAGTGGATGTCAGTTTAGGTAACTGTAATGTATTAAAATATGTGGGACATGGTTTAGCTGGGGGCTTGTCAGTGTGGGGTTAATGATTGGACTTGATGATCTTAAAGGGCTTTTCCAGTCGAGGCAATTCTGGGATTCTGTGAAAATGGGGCTAAAGGTTGGACCTGGTCTGCCTAGAAACAGGTTGGTGAGTAGATCTGCTTCATGTCGTTGTAAAAATGCAGCTGCACGTTGGCGATGAGGCTGACTGCGATGGAGCAGACCCTGGCACTGCCGGTGCGGTGAGAGCCTCGCTTCTCCCCAGCCTAGCACCTGGGCTTTGAGTGAGGTCACCCCGAATAGCTCCGTGATTCTTAATGTCTTTGAATTCATAGGACTTTCAGTGTTAAGGCTTTTTTTGTCTCTCATATATATGTGTAGATGTATAGTTGTGTCATTCAGTATGTGCCTGCTCTTGTTTAGGGACACTTATTTAGTCCCTAATTAATTTCTTAAATTAAGTATTACAAAGAACTAAGTTTGGAAGAACTTTGTTATTCTCTGAATTCTCTCGTTCCCAGCTTGTTTGCAGAGGAGGAGACTAGCAAAGGGTTTCTCTCATTCTTTTTTTCCCAGGTTTTTATCAGCCCCTTGGCAAGAACACCCGAGCACTTGTAGAGTCTTTATCTCATCCACCTTCGCAGCACCTCCCTGGGACGGAGGAGTGTTACGGGGGCCCTTCTTGCAAGTCTCTGGGAAAATACTTCTAGATCATTTTAGGCAGTGGAAAGCTGGAAGCTGAACTCTGCCATCTTAAAGCTCAAGCTGATATGTACATCATTACCTTTTCCCTTACCTAAGACTTCCTCAAACCCTCATTTATTATCTTCACGAAGGATTTTAGCTTTTCTGAGGTTAGGAACTAGAGAAAGAAATAAATGTCATGAGTCTGACTAGAAACATTGTTTTATTTGTTTCTCAGTCCTCCATTTGCAAGTGTAGTACGGAAATATTTACATCAAATACAGATCTGTGAAAACCAGAACTTGTTGTAGTCAATCAACATGTCCCAGGCTGGTGTGCTAAAACTCCTGCTTAACCAAAGCAAGTGACAAAGACTTTTTTTTGTTCCCTAACCACTCAACCATTTCTTCCAGAAAGAAAGAAAATCCCTCCTTCCTCGCTCAGGCAAAACTCCTGCTAAAAAAAATGCTGAAATTGGTGGAAGTGGGGCTAGCAGCTGAGCAAGGATACCAAGAGGGAAACAGTGAACCTTACCCCCCAGGGATGTAAAAACCTAAAAAGTACGTCCCTTTAATCCATATTTCCCTTCTCAGTGCAACCTTCTGTTAGATCAGATGAAACAGTAAAGCTCCTAGGAGATAGGTGACACCATGAAAAGGAGGTGTGTTAAAGGAGGGCTTTTATTAGTCGTTTTGCAGCAAATTCAAATTTTGGCTGCATTTTAGAAAGAATTATTACCAGGGATGTAAAAACCTAAAAAGTACGTCCCTTTAATCCATATTTCCCTTCTCAGTGCAACCTTCTGTTAGATCAGATGAAACAGTAAAGCTCCTAGGAGATAGGTGACACCATGAAAAGGAGGTGTGTTAAAGGAGGGCTTTTATTAGTCGTTTTGCAGCAAATTCAAATTTTGGCTGCATTTTAGAAAGAATTATTACACAGCCTTGGGCAAAGATCTGGCTAATGTCCTGATTTCCCATCAGTTTGTCACTGGTGCATGTCAGCATCAGGACTGACCTGTTTCTGTTGCCTGAACCGCAGAGCTCCATTGCTGGGAACAGAGGTGGTGATTGGCCTTAGGAATTAATTTGAAAACCTCAGGTTGTGGAAGGAGCTGTGCTCTCCCTGTGTCTCTGCTCCATCTTGTCTTGTGAAGTTTGTCCAAGTCAAGTGCATGAGAAGTAGCATTATAGATAATGTAGGTGATGGGCTTATGCAGTGACAGCTCCCAGAAGATGATCCAGAAGGTGCAGGTGCTTATACCTGTTGGCTTGGCTTGCTAGGTTTTGTGTTTGGCTTCCCATTTGCAGGTCTAGAGAGAGAAAAGGTTTTGATTTACTTTGATGTGAAAGGAGCAAGAAGGCAATTAATGAATGGCTGCTGATCAGCTCCTTTAACCTTGGTTTGAGGCCAGGGACCTCCAAGAGCAGGCTGCAAAGTGTTTCTAAATCCTCTTTGTGCTAGTGAAGGATCTGCCAACATTTGCACTAGTGCCAGCCAGTAGCAGGACTTTAAGATACCCTGCTAATCAATTTTTACACTAATTTAAAAAAAATATATATATTTTTTAATTTTTCTCTGACTCCTGCACGCTCCTGTCCTCTCATCAAGCCTTTCTCCACTCTCAGAAATGTTGCGAGCTGAAATGGAAAGAAAAGCTCAGAGTTTTTCTGGAGTTGGGAAAGCTGTTCCCAGTTTATAAGGATTTTTTCTTGTTGTTGCAAACCAGTTTCCTGCAGAGGAATTTAAAAGGAGGCTTTCTAGACAACCAGCGTGCTCCCAGAATGATAGTTACTGGTCTCCAGCAACTGATAGTTTTATGCTGATTTAATGAGTTGGAGATTTGGCACCCGTTTTCACTGAAGATTAATTTGTGGTGGAAAATAAATCCTTCAGCTGCCAGCAAGAATCCCAGGCCAGGTCCTGAGGCACTATTTAATTGAGTGAATTGCACTATTAACTTCCAAAGAGCGTAATTTCAATAAGCGGGAACCGCTCAGAGCAGCTGGAATTTCCTCTCTAAATAAAAGCTTAAATATGTTACAATTGCTTTGACCAGAGCTCTGTCATGTTAGTGCTGCCAAGGGAAAGCTGTCCCTGAGGAGATGATTTCCTGAGGCACTTGTAACCCAACTGCTTCATCGGTGCAAAACTGAAGAGTTCTGCAGAACATCTTTGCACAGGACTGGCAACAGGAATTAAGATAAGTGAAGAATTCAAGCATCGACCTAAACAAGGCTGCAAGAAGAGCTCTTGGTTATCACTTAGCCCCTGGAAAGCCAGGCGAGGATCAGAAGAGTGCTGTAGATAATAAATATCTATCATAACAAGGACAGGCTGTTCCCTTTTACAGACAGGTAAAAGAAAAGGCAGGTCTGTGTCTGCAGCTGCGTTCTGATAGATTGAAAGAGTGCACCCGAAGGGCAGGAGGCATTGCCACACAGTGCTCTTCCCTTAAACACTTACTATTTTTCTGGCAATGATTTCTGATGCATTCTGCCTTTAAAAATAAAAAATAACAGTAGGGATCTGGTTTTTGTTAATGTAGGGGGAGGGAGGTTCTTTCTGAGTGATCATATTAATTTGGACAACTTAAAAACTCTTAACTCTTTTACTAACTTAAAAATGATTAACTCTTTTACTATGAAACCCATGCGTGTGTAACAAGGAATATGAATTTGTCTGATTTCAAAGATGCTTGATTTGCAAAGAAAAAGGCTCCAGAGATGTGACAATACTTTCTTGCAACCCAGCTTTTCCAAGCGCTAGCCCAGCACTGGCCTGGCTGGAGCAGTAGGGGGGATATTTTGGTGCTAGGGTGCTCTCTTGCCACGAGCACTCTCGGCACAAGGTTTGCAAACTGCAGAAGTGGGTTTCTGCAGAGCAGGTAAGGTGAAGAAACCGGCTGCAGGGAGGTCGATTTGTAGAAGCAAAATGCATGTTAGTTGCTGGCAAAAGGATTTCTTCTTCCAAATTTGGCAAATTTATAGAATCACAGAATGGTTTGGGTCAGAAGGGACCTTAAAGCTCATCCAGTTCCAACCCCCCTGCCATCAGCAGGGACACCTTCCACTGGACCAGGTTGCTCAAAGGAAAGCCTGACCTTGGACACTTCCAGGGAGGAGCAGCCACAGCTTCTCTGGGCAACCTGGGACAGTGTCTCACCACCCTCACACCAAAGAATTTCTTCCTCGGATGTCATCTCAATCTCCCCTCTTCCAGTTTAAAGCCATCACCTGTTCTATCACTCCCTGCCCTTGTCCAAAGTCCCTCCCCAGCCTTCCTGGAGCCCCTTCAGATACTGGAAGGCCGCTAGAAGGTCTCCCCTGGGCTCAAGTTAGTAGTAGTGCATTGGGAGCGCTCGAATGTGATGTTAGTTGTGAGTATCGGGTGATGCACAAAGTGTTTAGGCTGCCACAAACACCTCCTGTCTTTGTTTAGAACCTACTGTGGTGTCAGTGCTCAGCCATTTGAATTACTTAAAATTAAAAAAAAAACCCCAAACAAACACAGGAGAAGAGAATCTCGTCTCTCTTTCTTGCCCTTAATTCATTACACAGTCCCCTCCCATCCACCATATAGCGGATGAAGAGTTTTTAGGTCGCTTTTTGGCACCTGACTGCTTTATCACTTTGTGCTGCCAAGTTTAAGAGAAAAACGTCAACACCTGTCGCTTACTAACCTTTTACATCTGCATCTTCGTCTTCTGGTTTCTAAAATACAAAAGAAAATGTTTTAGTTCAAAGATACCGAGTCACAGCTCAACCTTGCTGCCATTCCCCAGCAGCTTGCTGTCTTTAAGACTAACAATGGATAAGCCAAGCTTATTTTTAAGGAAAGCCATACAAGCAAGCAGTGCTGCAGCTCACATTCCCTGACAGTCCACACCAATATTTTCATTAATTAAGTTTTCACGTGAGTAACAGTAACAGGGTCAGCCTGGCAACACTGACAGTGAATTATTATTATTTTTTTTCCATTTCCAGCAACTTCAACATGTTGCTGAAAATCCCTTGGCAGCAATTAATTTCTACAAGAGGTGAGTGGCAATGATGCAACCAAGTCAAAGGATACCTTTCCCCATTTTAGCATCTATGTCATTATTTTGCGAGTTATTTGGCAAAATATAATGTCCAGCCATTAATTTTAGCACAAGGTAAAAATCTGTCCTTGAGGGCTCGTGCTGCCTGCTGCAGAAATTAATTGCAGCTAAGGGCTTTTCACCAATCATTTACATCAGCATTAAAAAGCAGAACTAGATCATTGAGTGGTGTTTGTAGGTTAACGATGTTGCAGGTCACCGGAGGATCCCAGTGCATGTGGAGAGCTCCTGGTGACTTCAGAGGGAATTTGGATCAACTCTGGGTGCTCTTGCTGCACCATCAGCTATTTCCCTTGAGAAGAATGATTTATGGCTGTGGCTCATCAGTGGTTTTTTCATGTATTCCTTCCTATTGCTGCAGATCATGGTGATTAGTATTTTTAAGGGCTGAAGGATGCTGAAAAATTGTTTGTTTTTTTATTTTTTTAACTAGGTCAGCTGAGAAATTCATCTCATATCAGCTCCAGGCTGTGGGATCAGTGAGGATCTAGTGAGGTTAATTCAGCAGCCAAACACTTTGGTGTTCCAGGCAAACGAGCTGAGCCAGTTATATGAAATGGGTGTAACTTCTGGGGGTATCGGGGCACTCCCCAAAGGCAAGTTAAACTAATTTCAGTGAGTGTTAAATTGATTTAAATACATTTACACTCACTGCTTGCTCAGGGTAATTTAAAGACGTTTCAAACATGAAATGTCACCAAAGAACTCTTGCCCACCCAGAGGTTTGGCGTTACTGCTTTAACCATAGCAGTCTCTAAACCTGTGTAATTAAGTTGCTTGTTTGGTTACAGCTCAAGCTGCTTAATGGGAGTCTCGGCATTTGAATTTGCAAGCCCCCCCTTTTTTTTTTACTCCCAATACACCAATTCAAAGATGGTGGAACCAGTACAGTTGGATAGAGTAAGCTTCCTCCATTTAGTTTTCTCTATTTATAATCTGTTTTTCTTCTTCATAGTGTAGAAATTTAGAATTATTTTTCAGGCTAAGCCTGCTACTGAGGAAAATATGGACACTGGGTTGGTTTTGGGTTTTTTTTAACAGTTGATCCTTCTCTTGTGTTTAATGTCCCCTGGTTATCTGATGTCTTTGCAAAGGGGGTAGCTGGCAGATCCATTCCCCTGAAGGACAGGGCTGTGGTTTGGAGCTAGAGGAATATCTACGGGGGGTTACGGGTGAGTCTTACGTTGACACAGCATGATGGTGATGGCCAGGGCAATGATGAGCAGGAGGCAGGCGCCTGCCAAGGGAACCCAGATGAAGATGTCACAGAAGAAATTATTCTTGCTGGTCTCTGCAGAAATAGAGAAGATGCTCATGGCTGATGTTATAGACAGCTCTAGTGGAACCAGGGGACCTGCCTGGCATTCAGCAAGGCTGGTGGTGAAGCAGAGGGCTTCCCTTGGCCTGCAGAGGTGGGCACCATGGATGTCCACAAGCACAGCCTGGGTTTCATGCCCAGTGGTGAGCATTCATTAGTTCTGCTGTTCTCAGCATTTTCCTGGGCACCAAAAGTTTCCTTGTGTCCCCTGCTGAGGCTAAAACCAGCACCAGCCCCCAAGGCTCTGCTGTCCCTCCACCTCTTCCTGATGTACCCAGTCATGAGACATCCTCATGCTTTTTAAAACATCCTTAGCCTTTCCTATGTGGGATGAAATGGGGTTTAACCCTCTCAGCTGCATGTACCCGGTTATCCAGCCCAAAGCTCTAAGGAATTTCCCTTTCCCTCATCCCAAAATGCCTGCTGTATCCCCCTTGGTGTCAGCAGACCAGAGCCCAGTTCTTCCCCTCTCTCTCCCTGCAGATAGGTTACCTTGATCTGAGGTCATCAGGCAAGAGTCCTTTTTGGTGGTACCACCATGGGTGGTGGGTGTTGGTGTGGTGGGTGCCGCTGTGGTGGTGACTGTAAGTGAAAATGGATGAATATGCATATAGGGAAATAGAGTAAAATAGTGTTCTCCTGCCCTCCTGTTCTCCCACCCTACCAGGGCATGGCTCCTGTGGCCAGTGTAGGGCTCGGGTTCAGGGAGACTTCATAGAGCCCATTTTGGATGGTGACTCCCCCAAGGATGGTCTCCCAAAACCCACTAAGGAGCTGCAGGCTCCTTATCTCTTGGTTTCTGCCACCACCCTCAAAAAGTTTGAGTAATGTGAGGTGAGGAAGGAGGAGGTGGTGGTCTTTGTTATGAATGGGATGGAGAAGTGGGATGGGGAGGTGGTGCTGGATCTGCCCCATCATCTTTGCCTTTGGGCTGGAGTGATACCACATAAAGAGACAGCAAGCAGGGAGCTTCTGGCAGGAGGACCAGTGTGTTGGTCATAAAATGCCTTGGACAAGCAAGCAGGGAAGTGGGGTTTGTGGGAGAGGTGACTGATTAAAAAAGGCATGGGCAGGAGGTGCTGGGCATTTTGGCAGAGCTAAGCGAGGTTGGGTGGAGGTTTTGCTGACCTGGGAAGAAGACAGGCTGGCCAGGGCTGAAGTACAGCATTTGGTTGCTGTTCATGAGGCAGAAATAGTTCCCCTCATCCTGTGATGTGAAAGAATTCACTACCAGCCAGTAGGACCTTCTGTCTTTCCCTGCCTTGAAGCGTGTGGATGTCTTCTCGTTCCCCTTGAAGGTGGGCCGGGATAGGGAATTGATGAAGACGATGAAGTGCAGGGTCCCATCTTTGCTCTGATGGACCCAGAATACACCGCTGTCCTCCTTGTTGGTCAGACACTCCAGCTCCAGCCGCTGTCCCACCCGGGGGTGTGTGGTGCTCCTGTCACGAAACTGGACCTTCATTGTGTGGCTTTGGCCATGGATCCCAGCACAGCCTGTGGGAGAGAAATCCTTGCAGGAACTGCTCGGGAAGAGCACATCCCCTCCGGGCAAACCTCAGACCCTGTCCATGGAGTGCGAGGTCAAATGCAAAGGGGGGACCATGCTGTCTGGATGACTTGAAGGTTTTATTGGAGTTCTTGCTGGGATCATGTGTGGAGGGTGCTCAGCCAGCAGCCGCCCAGGCTTTAAAGATGGGTGCTGCCTTTCAGAAAAGCCTTTCAGCTGCCTTATCGGGGATGTTGCCCTTTCCCGGTTTACCTGAAGTGACTCCCTAAAAACACCGACTGCTAAACCTCCTTTTTTCCACTTCCCCCTCCCCTCCAGAACCACTTCTCTGACCAGGCTCCCTTCCCGGTGCGCGTGATGCTGCAGCCACCGCCCTGGCTGCCCTACACTGGCTGAGGTGATGCCGCCTTTACCTCCACAATCAATGAGCAAACCTCAAGGTCAACCTTCTTGCTTTGCTTTTTATTTTCCCTTTAACTATTTAGCCCTATTTCTTGAATTCACTGGAAGGAGTTTCCTTCTCCCTCCCGGTGAAGGTGATGCACGACCCCATGTCCATACTCACAGAGCCCCAGAGCGAGGAGAGGGAGCAGTGCAGGAGACCTGGCCATCTTCTCCTAGGGATGATTGTCCTTGGGGACAGTGTGGCGGAGCAGAGATGATCTTTCTCGCTTGACTTGGGAGGCTGCGTTGCTCTTCGGAGAGGATGTGATGTCACCAGGACCCTCTTTGGTAAAAAGACTGTGTTCAGCACCCGTGGCAAAATGAAGGGGAAAAAAACAAGATTTCTGAAGTAATTAAGTTCTAATCCAGAATTTGGGCTCATTTATCTTTATTAATTCTTAATGGTGCCTCAAGGATTTGGCCTCAACGACTTCTGTGGAGATTCAGAGGGTGGATGCTCGTGCCTGGGGTGGGATCAGCCATGGCAGTCTGCTGTCTCCCAGCCATCAGGGAGTTCACAGCAGCTCCAGCCCTGCAGAAGTCATGGATAAGCCCCGTCATTTGGCTGCAGACCCCAGGTTGCGTTTCTTGGCAGGGATTCCACCACCTTCTCTTGCATGTGCTCAAGGGGTTTCATGCTGATGGCAGAGCACGCTGGATTTCATTACCCAGCAGGCAAGACAGGGGTGTTTCATGGTGTACATTCACGTATATTTTATATCTTCGAGCGCTTACATCGCTGACACGCAGCTGAGTTCTTCAGGTGCTCGGTTGTTCTCTTTATAATTCTTCTTATCAATTGCTCTGCAAAAGCTGCTTTGTGCAAGGCAGGTGGTCTGTGATCTGAAACCCCCTCAGAAAGCCCCGTGCCCCAGGGGTATGCTTTTTTTTTTTTTTTCTTAACATCTTGTGGTTTTCTTCTGTAACCACAGGGGCTTCCGCCCTGTCAAAAAAACCCTTTCATGCTTCAACAGAGAGGGCCCTTGCTGCTGGCTCCAGGTGACCACTTGCACATGGGTATGGGTGATGCTTCCTGGAGCTCTGCACAGACAATAGCAACAGTTTCACCAGACTGTGAGGTGGTGGGCTGGTGTATTATTTATTTCTTTGTTTGACAATTCTTGACTTTCCTGTTGATTATTTTTCTGTGTGAGGTGTTTTTCTATTACTCCTTTGCAAAGAAACCCTCCTTTTCCTGGGCATGTCAAGAAGCAGGTGCTGGTGACTTTGATGCTGTTGCTATTGTGGCTGCTACTTAGAGATGAGTTATGGAAAATGGTTTAGGAACTGGGTTTGTTGCATTGGGCATCAAAGCTTGTTGGTAAGTGAGGAAAGCTGTTGTTAGGCCTGCTGAGGTATGTGAAATTCATATTTTCATGAGGCTGCGATACTTGTGATGTCTGCCTGAAAAAGGGCAGATTTTGGCAAAAGGAAAATAGTTTTCATCAGTTAAATAACATTACAAGCATCTGTATCTCAAATTCCCATCAAGCAAATGTGAATATCAGACTTGAGCTAAATGTCACCTCTTTGCACTCCAGCCATCTCCAGATGAGACATCAAGTCATGCTACTTATGTGGGCTCCTGATTTCAGTGGGCAGTTTATTCTCCTTATCTAAAGTAGAATTCATTCTCTCTTTATAATGGGATAAGCTGCTTTTGGGAAGCACCTGTCTTCATGGACTGATAGAGGATCAGAGACAAGGAACTGGAAATACAAGCCTGCTTTGTAGATGACCACAGTTGAGTCTCACGTTTTCTGAGATGCTGAAGTGAGCTGGTTGCTGCCATCCTTTGGGATTGTTGTGTGAGTGCCTGTCCGCTTCCATCGCTATCACAACTCAGTGTCAGAAAATGAAATTTCAAAAGCATTTTAAAAAAAACCACAACCCTCTTGAGACCAAAGCAGGAAAATTCCTGGTTCCCATTTTTCAGTATGGTTCAAATGGAAGAGAACATGCTGGCAGATGAGGATGGATGCAGTGTTTGTCAGGACTAGGTTCTCACTGTTGTAGAGCCTGGATGCTTATCTACAGCATGTAGTGATGGATGTGCTGGGAGAACCTATACAATTAGAGTATCATCCAGGAAGGAATATTGACTTTCTTAGTAGGGGCATCTTACTTCTGTCTTGTCTCTGATTAATGGTAAATTTTATTATGGATCTATCATGGGTACCAAACTGAAGCCCAGAGATTCTTCTCCTGGGTGTAGAGGTGTCCTTGGTCCTCATGGCTCACAGATTGAGCTGGTGTATTGGGTCTGACTGGGATGGAGTTAATTGTTCCCATAGCAGCCCTCAGAGTGCTGTGGTTTGTATTAGTAGCTAGAAAGGTGTTGATAACACACCAGTGGTTTGGTTACTGTTGAGCAGTGCTGCACAGCATCAGGGATGTCTTTCCAACATTCCCCCCCACCCAGTAGGCCGGTGGTGGGGAAGATCTTGGGTGGGGACACAGCCAGGACAGCTGACCCACACTGACCAAAGGGATGTTCCATACCATATGATGTCTGCTCAGAAATAAAAGCAAGGGGAACGGAGGGGGAAGGGTGTGCAGTTGTTATTTACATTTGTCTTCTGGGGTAACCGCTACGCACACTGAAGCCCTGGGAAGTGGCCAGACATCGCCTGCTGACAGGAAGTAGAGAATAAATATTTTGTTCTTTTGCTTCTGCGCGCGCAGCTTTGCTTTGCTTCTATTAAACTGCCTTTGTCTTGACCCTCGAGTTTGGGGTTTTTGTTCCATCTTATTTTCTCCTCTCCCCATCCTGCCGAGGAGGGGGGTGATAGAGCGGCTTGGTGGGCACCTGGCATTCAGGCAAGGTCAATCCACCACAGCTGGTTTCCATGCAAGGCCACCATTTCCTTTGTCACGTTCAGGCTCTGTGTCACCATTCAGAGGTCTCCTTTTTCTCTTCATAATTTTATTTGCTGAAGTGCTTTGTGACTCACCACTACATGAAAGATACCACCAGCCCCTGTCTCTTCTGGCGCTTGCCCATTGTGCTGGGAAAGGCCAACATTGGGGAGTCACAGGAGATGGCTTCAGGGGGAGCTATTCCTTTCTGCTGTCTGCAATAAACTGCTAATGAATATTTCCTTTTAAGGCAAGACAAAAGTTTATTGTCAACGGAGAGATACAGCTGTAAGCAGCCTGTCACATCATGAACGCACTTCGTGTGCCACAGAAGGAACCATGGAAGTGTAGCTCTGATGGAGACATCCATGTGTGGTCAGATGAAACCACCCCTTTCTTGTGCCCTCATCTTATGTCTGCTAAATAATTAATTAGCTGGAGTAGGGATAATTTTTTTTCTTTTAGGTATTGCTTAGCACAAAGCTGTTTCTATTTTGCTTGGTCAAACAACTAAACCAGTTGCAATGGTGATTATTTGATTATGAAAAGCTCCAGGCTTTTCCAGGACCTCCAGGAAAAACTCTACTTTAAAATCAACACTCGTATAAATAACTTAGATCAGTATGGGTAAGTTCTACACTGATGACCTACTCCAAAACTGGGGGGAGTAAGTGGTTAATCAGATTAATTAAGGAATCTCTTTGACTTTAGCATGCTCTGGTTTCACAGTTTGTCCTCTAGATGACATTTTGCAGTAAGTAGACTTATTGTTAGACTGAGGACCCAAGTCAAATCAGTGAAAAACTGGCATTAATAACATGTTTTATTAGTAATTTCTATTGTAGTGCCACAGTTATGACTAAGGAAGAAGAAAAAACTCAGACAACCAGTTAGTTCTGCAGAACATTGTATAAGAGATGTCAGGAGACCAGACAGGTTGGTTAGACAGTAAAAGGTAATTTCTTTTTTTCTCCCAAATCTACCAACAAGTTTCATTTTACTTGTAGCTGAGGTCATGGGGCTCTGATTGCTGAACTCCAACCAAAGTTACTTATGACTGAGGTTTATCTCTATATACTGAGGCAAGCCTAAGTCTGTAGTTAATTAATGTCAAGCAATTGAACAGAAGGAGACAGGAGCAAAGAGAAGAGAGACGAAACCACATGGGGAAGAGACAGACTGACAGGATCTGCATTGTTTTGGAGTGGGACTTGGCAGGAGGTGAGTTTAGGATTAATTTTCTCTGTGCTTGCTTACATCCATTTAACAGAGAAGACATGGGAAATGAGAGGGAGCTTGGGGCATCAGAATGGGAGGAGATGCTGAGTTTTGGATATGATTGATTTCGTAGTCATTTTGTGGAAGGATCAGTGACTTTTGCATAGGGGTGAGAAACTCTTCAGCTTTTTAGTATCAGTAATATCAGACATCGCATGGATGTCTCAGTATTTTGTAACTGGCAGTGGGAGCACATCTCAGGACATGGGAGTTGAGCTGTGATGGTTGATAGACACAAAAGTAGCATCAAAATGACCATCTTCTATCAATTCCATTGTTTCTGTTGCCAGTGGTATCTCTTTGTCGTGCTTCAGAAGGACTTCCCATTGCTAAGCAATGATGCAACGTGGTTGATGATGAGCAAGCGCTGCTTGATCCCTGCAAGTGATCAGTGGTGGTAACTCAGGGTGTGACACTGGACTGTGTTTGCAGGAGGAATGGAAACTTTTAGTGAACATTTCAAAATTTGGTTGCAAATCACAAACTTCTGTTTCAAATGGAGCGGGCTGGGGGGGAAATGTTGACACTATAGCATACAACTTTTCCGGTGTGAAATGAAGCTGTGGTTTATGAACAACTTGCTGCCCCCCCTTTTCTTTGCAAAGCTGCAGCATTGAAAGGCTTTGGAGAATGTCAAGTGCAACTGTCACTCACCAGATACTCACACACTATCTTTCCACTGTAGCTGCATGTTTCCAGTTCAGTGGCCAGTACTGTGCTCTCTTCTGGGTACTCTCAGTGTAAACATCATATACCCTAAAATACACTGTACAAACCACAATCCTGAGCTCTCATCTCTCCATGTTGTAGACCTTTAACCTGATCACTTGGTCGAAAATCTCCATAATCTCCATGCTTGTTGGTACCTCAGCTGAGAGTTTGATACAAGAAGACTTCATGAATTATGAGTTTTCCTTACTCAGGCTTCCTGCACCTTCTCTCCTGATGCTGCAGAGCTGGTCTGTGCAGACATTCGGTAAATCAACAATCTCTGATGGTGTCTTTTGGGGACTGGTGACAATTTACTCTG